TCCTTTAGGGGGCTCAGGAGGCAGCACCTGGGGCTTCATACAGGTCAGGAAACCAGACCAGAACCCCGCCAAACCCAGGCCCTTGCTGCCTCCTGGTGGCCTTAGATGGGGATGACCAAGCCCCAGGGAGGCAGCTGAGTGGGGCTGAGCCCCCAGCTCTGACCCCCCAACTTGTTCCTCCTCCTCCTCGTCCCAGCTCAGCACCAGCGACCCTGTCCCTCCTCATCCCCTCCATGGGCTCATCCTTTGTCCTGCACGCCCATCAGGACAGAATTGTCACCTTCCTCCCCAGGTGACTCAGAAGGGCCCCTGCAGGGTCTCTAATCTTGTCTCAGCATGACCTTGTCTCAGGGACAGTGACCTTGAGGAGATCTCAGCTCAGGGCAGGGGAACCTCACACGATAAATGACTCCACCCCCATAGGTACGCGGATGAGAAATATGGGCACATGAGATGAATCTGAATTCTCAAAACGCTTTGAAAACGAATAATGTAAGAAAGATTTTAGTTCCCTCAGGATGGAGGGAGCCCTAGTGGAAAATGAAGGAAGATGCCAGGGTGTGCAGGGCTGGGAGGGGGGACTGGGTCAGAGTCGGCCTCAGGGCCCAGCCGCAGGGACCTCTCCTCAGGCAGGTCTGTCTGCCACGTGGTGCAAGGGAGGATTCTCTTCTGTCCTCAGCGGGAGGTCCTCACCCCAGAGCTGGCCCCTCCCTGAGGTCAGACACCTGTGTCCAGATGCTAGACCCATTGTGTTTTCTAGACAGAGAATCAGGGCTGACTGGTGTTTCCCAAGATTGTCACTTTCTCAGTATCTGAAATATCTAGTTCCTGATTACGAGGAAAGTTGACAATTGGTGTAATTGTCCTTTGCATCCCAGGGTTTATGCTCCTGCCTCTGGGCACAGGGCCCCAGGGGTGATGCAGAAGGAGCTCCAGGTCCCCACAGAACAGATTCCTGCTTCTTTCCTGGGTACTGTGGAGGGGACCCAGGTGTGATGGCGCTGGATGTGTGTGTCTGTGTGTGTGTCTGTCTGTATTTGTGTGGGGCTGTGTGTGTGTTTCTTCACAGAGACAGAGCACATCCTGCGATAGAACATAACCCGGACCTGATGGTGAGATGTAGGGTTTCCCTTGGATCCAGGGCCTGAACTCAGGCGCAGGAATACATGTAGGATCTGTGCGCATCAGAGTTACCCCACAGCCCGAGACTAATGTCCTTAGAGAGACCTGCCCACAGGACTAGCCCTTGGTTTGTGTCTTGTGACTAGATTTCAGGAAGGTTTAGGCTATTCCCCACGAAGAATGACCCCCTGAGTCTCCACTCTCCTGCAACCTTATGGTTTATTCTGAAGCCCTGACCTGCTCCCCAGCGGGAATCTGGAATTTCGGTCGATGCCAGGCACAGGGTGCCTAGGAGACCAGCCTCCAGTAAGAGTCTTGTGGGTCTGAGGAGGCTCCCTGGGGGACAATTCACACACGTTGTCGCCATTTGATTCTGCTGATGAAGCCCGTCCCTCATCTGGGAAAGGCCTCCTGGAATCTTCTCCTGGTTTCTTCTTATTTCACCGCATCCACCATGGCCCTTTGCTGGTTTTGCTTGGTCTCCATTCACTGAAGGAAATCACAGCCATTAGGACGACTCTCTACTGAGTCCTAGGGGTCTTCTTTGTGACACGAATAGTTGCCTGTGGCCTTGGGGACACTCGACACAGGACGATCTGAGAAGACAAGCAGCAAACCCAGGGTCTAGGGTTTCCCTCCGTCTCCTACCCTCTGCACCCGGGGCGTAAAGGTCATCATGAGATTCAGGGTTTGTACTAAACTCCACCCCTCCATGGACACCCCAGGACCACCCAGGGAATCACGAGGTCCAGAGCACTGGTACTCACCACAGCTCTCCACCAACCCCGGAACAAGCTCCAGTGAGAGGAAGATCAGGTCCACACTGGAACTCCGGCTCTCCTAATTTTCAGTGTGGGCTCCTGTCTACACCACTCTTGGTTTCTTTCTGTGGCTCCTTGATCCAAAGGCACGGACCCTATATGCAGCCACATTCTCCCCCCAGCCCTGGAAGATGGTCTGGAGCCTCTGCCTCCTGGATCTCAAGGGCTGCCACAGCTCCCACAAGAGCCTCAGGCCACGACCCGGCCTCTATGGTGGGGGCGATCCCCAATAGCAGGAGGGAATCCTTTACCAGTTAGCACGTGTTTTGTCCTCATTAAGGAGAAAATACCCAAATAGTCCAGCCCTTCTTTCTCCATAACACAGGCTAACGTCCACTTAGTCCTTCTTTGTTTATCCTTTCAATATTCCAAATGTTTGCAGTGGGGAAATAAGCAAAGCAAACCACCTGCAGGAAAGTTCTTTGTTTACCCACTTTTGACTGTAATTCTTATTGGATTCCCCAGGAGTATTATTCTGCATTGCACATGTTACAACAGCAAAGATTATGGATGGATTCATGCCTAGAAATTCAGATTTTTAAAAAAATTGTAAATGAATTCTCAGAGATTCTTTTTCTTTCTTTTCTTTCTTTTTTTTTTTTTGTGGTATTCGGGCCTCTCACTGCTGTGGCCTCTCCCGTTGCTGAGCACAGGCTCCGGATGCACAGGCTCAGCGGCCATGGCTCACGGGCCCAGCCGCTCCGTGGCATGTGGGATCTTCCTGGACCAGGGCACGAACCCGTGTCCCCTGCATCGGCAGGCGGACTCTCAACCACTGAGCCACCAGGGAAGCCCGGAATTCTCAGAGATTCTTCATCACTGACCCAGAAAAGGTCATCCATTGGAAATCCCTTGACATCTGTGGTGCAGATCCCTCATTCACTGTGGACTCTGAGGGAAATTCCTCTCTGTCCTCCCCACCCCCGACCTGAGCGAGGGCTCCTGTTCCCACTTCTGGGATAAGGAGACAAAACAAGATACACCTTCATTCCAGAGCTGGGTACCGGCATGCTGTCTAGAACACTGTTTGGGCATCACATCGAATGTGGTACAGTATGGCAAGAGATGCTTTTGACTTGAGTCTGTTGCTTTGTGTTCTGAGATTTTCATTACCTTGAGACTGAGAATCAAAATATCATCGATCACAGAAAGCAGCTATTTTCTTGGTCAAACATATCTTTCCAAATCCACCTAAAATACTGGGTCAAAACTTGTCCAGACGTTTTCTCGTCAAGGAGAAGGGCGTAAAACACCCTCTCGATTTCGTGTGTATCACCATCGTGCCCTTGCAAACTCATGCATGTCCTGCTCCGTGACTGAGCATCTGGAGCCTGAAGTGAGGACAGAAGCCGGGAGTGGTCCACGTGTGGACCTAAGGGGACCTTTGGTCAGATTCTCATGCACAAACACACACATCTGCCTACAATTACCTGGCCTGGATTGTTGAAACTGCAAGCTCAAGATTACTATATTCAGAGGAATATTTGATATCGCAGCTCGGGCTAATGCATAGGATGTGACTTCTGAGGAAGTGGAGAGCCAGACTCAGGTCATTCTCATTAAAAAGAGAAAAGCCTTTCTTAGAAAAATGTAAAACTGATTATAAATGCAGCTCTATGTTTAGTAGAGAAAAAGAGAGAGATAACAGGATAAGTGTACAGAAGGAAAGGAAGAATGGCTGTCCCCATAATAATGGGGGAGGGTAGATAGTATAATAGAGGCTATTTCAGGAGAGTAAAAACACTCTTATTCCCACACTGCACTTTAGGAGCAGCTGTAATCCCAATGAAAGTAGATCTTAGAAATGAAGTCGGTAAATATTTTCTACACTATACCTGATCTCTGACAATATAGTTAGAAAGACCAATGATTCTGGTCAAATGTAAAATGTTGTGATAAAGACAAAGGATTCTTCAGATTGAGACTAGCATACACTTAGAAAATATGGAGCCTAATTGGCTGGGTTAAAATAAATCAGGTTGGGACTTCCTTAGCGGCACAGTGGTTAAGAATCCGCCTGCCAAGGCAGGGGACACGGGTTCGAGCCCTGGTCTGGGAAGATCCCACTTGCCGCAGAGCAGCTAAGCCCGTGTGCCACAACTACTGAGCCTGCGCTCTAGAGCCCACAAGCCACAACTACTGAGCCCACTCGCCTAGAGCCTGTGCTCCGCAACAAGAGAAGCCACCGCAGTGAGAACCGCCCCCCGCAACGAAGAGTAGCCCCCGCTTGCCGCAACTAGAGAAAGCCCCCGCGCAGCAACAAACACCCAACACAGCCAAAAATAAATAAATTTTAAAAATAAATAAATGTATAAAACTAAAATAAAATAAATCAGATTTATCAGGAAAATGATTTGGATAAGAAAAGTGTACACAGGACCAGTATGGAGTTAGTCATATAGGAGGGGTCTTCCAAAGTTAGAGGATCTTCATGAAATCACCCCAACTGACACGTGACTCCAACTTCATGAGAGCCAGGAGCCAGGAGCACAAGAAAGAGCTGCTCTCCAGTCCTAGATGCCTGAACACACAGCTATCAAAT